AAGTGTATTTACCATTAATTTGAGCAGGTAAATAAGAGAATTTGCCAATGGAATGAGTATTTTTAGTCTTAAAATATGATAATTAGATAATATGCACTTGAAATAAGACAATGCAATTGTGGTTTCTTATTTTAAATGTAAATTGTCTTGATCCAATTCAAGAAAAATGTGCTTATTGCAAGAAAAAATGACTTATTTACCGTAGATTTACATCTTTTGCAGTGTAGCTACTCAAATATTAATAATTGATGGTAAATACAGTTAATTTAAGCAGTTTTTACTTATATCTTGATCGTATTTCCTGTGTAATTGTGTGGATTCCATCAAGTAAACGTTGATTCTATAAAGCAGACATGATGGGCTGTGAAATGCATCGCCTCCATGACCCGCTCACCCAGTCCAGGATTACTGGACCTGCAGATGAAATACCAGCTGCTGCAAAAGGCCAGATTGCATCAAACCATTTTTCCTGTTTTAACAGAAACAAACTTCTATTGGAGGCAGATCTAGGGTGCGGACCAGCAGCCGGCTGGGAGGGTTTAAAGGACAGGAAGCAGCCAGAGGAGCTCTGAGCTTCAGTTCTAAGGTTGGCAGAGAGGAACAAACAGATTCCAGTGTGACGAGCGCATCGATGCCCGTCTGGACAGAGATGAGGAGCCACCGGGTCACAGGGAGGTCGTCTGGAGCCATTGAACGCAGCGCAGGGCAGAGACTGACCTCATTAACATCATCAATACTTTGAATGATCAGTCAGCTCATCGCTCAGGGGAAGGACGCTACCAAAGCCTCTAAACCTAAAGAACATGTCGGATTTACACTTAATTAAGTGCTATTTTTCTTAAAATAAGTGCATTTTTTTTTTTATTACAGGGGAAGTGAGAAACTTTGCCAATAAAAGAAGAAAATTTACTTTTAAAATAAGAAGAAATAATTATATTGTCTTATTTCAAGTGCATTTTATCTAATTATCTTATTTTAAGAGTAAAAATACTCATTCCATTGGCAAATCATTTTATTTACCTACTTAAATTAAGAGTAGATGCACTTAATTTAAGACATTTTTACTAATTTTAAAATCGTTTTTGCAGTGGTTTGCTCACACACTGCAAAAACAATCCAGAATTAAGTAAACGTTTCTTACATTAAATGTATTTACCCTTAATTTGAGTAGGTAAATGAGATGATTTGTCAATAGAATTAGTATTTTTACTCTTAAAATAAGACAATTGGATAAAATGTGCTTGAAATAAAACAATTTAATTATGTTTTCTTATTTTAAATGTAAATTGTCTTGTTCCATTGGAAAAGTGTTTCACTTACCTCCTGTAATTCAAGAAAAAATGCACTTATTTTAAGGAAAAAAAAATACTACCGGTAGCTTAAATCAATATTTTTTCCAGTGCATTAAGGCACTGCAAAAAAATATCTGTCTTAAATTGAGCAGCTGAGACACTTTGACATTTAAGAAGACAATTTACATTTAAAATAATACCTCCTGAATTCAGGAACAAATGCACTTATTTTAAGAAAAAAACTACTTATCTAGATTTCAATTTTTTTT